ATTTTTTATTTATCATATTTATTTATAAATTAAATTTTAATATTTTAAAATATATTCTCAATAATTTAAAATAATTTTGTATTGTAATATAAATTATTTATCTTAAATATAAAATATAATTTATATTTTTAAAAATATTTATTCATATATAATTTATTATAAAATTTAGTTATATATAATTAATATTTGATCCGTAAAATGTACATGTTAAAATACTAATTAATAAGTGTGTTTTCTAGATAGTTTGACTTGCATGAATATTGTGTTGCATGCTTATGAATGGTTATGATCTTTTAATATTGCATGAACAGGATCATATACTCGTTCCACATGATAGTTATTTCAGGAATCAGTGTAGTGGAAAACAAGTGTAACATTCATACAAATATCAATGAGAAAAATACGAAAAGTAGAGCACCCACTGACTAACTTGTTACGCAACATCACTTCCCCTTGTGTGGCTTGATTTCATTAACTCATCTCCATCTTCCAACACACTTTAATTACTTATTTATTATAACATTATTTCATTCTTCTTATCTTTTACCTAGCTAGGGGCATGAGTTTTGTGTCCAGATTCATGCTGACCGGTTCAACTGAATCTCTTGGATCGGCACCACTATCCTGTGTTCGAGCTAATTCAGCTGCTAAAGTTTCCTTTAGTTCAAACGCTATCACACTCATCATTGGCCTTTCGTCAGGATTTAGAGAAACACAAGCCATTGCTATTTCTAAGGCTTTCCAAGCAGAGTTAATGTCAAAATCTCCTTTTAACCTTGAGTCAACTATGGCCTTGATATCCCCTGTTGCAATCAGGGATCTAACCCATTTAATTATGTGAGTCTTCTCTTCATTTATTGCCATTACTGGTTGACTTGTGATTATTTCCAAAAGGACTACTCCAAAGCTATAAATATCACTTTTCTCTGATAGTCTATTGGATATGCAGTAGCTGCAAGACAAATCATGCAACCCAATTTATTTTCTGTCAGAGTTTGTGGTGATAATTGAAATATCCACTTAGAAACACTCGGTATATTTTGCTGAAAAAAGATGAATGGGACAATGGTTGAAGTACTTACTGAGGGTCCAGATAACCAAGAGTACCCGCAACAGCAGTTGTCTCATGAGATTCCCCATCAGTTGGGATAATTTTGGATAGACCAAAATCAGATAATTTCGCCTGGAAATGTTCATTCAACAATATGTTTGTAGATTTTATGTCTCTATGGATTATAGGAGGCTTGCAACCATTTTGCAGATATTCCAATCCTGAGATTAGATTTATGGCAAACACATTTAGAAGGGATTTAACAAAAGTGTCAGAAACACATAATTTGAAGTTTACTTTCTGACCTAAGGCTGCATCCACTGCTATACGAAGTCTTTCCTCCCAGCTCAATAATTTTGATTTGCTGTGTTTACCTGCACGAACAAGTTCTGTAACATTCTATATATGCTGATTTTTGTTGACTAGAAATAGAACTCAGTCATACGAATCATACTACAGTTTTTCCATATGAAAATTTCCATATTCAGGGTTTCAGAATACAAAACTAACTTGGAAAATGATTTGCACAAATTTTTAACAAGAAATTAATTTTATTTGAGAACTAACCAAAGAGATGTTCTTGTAAGTTTCCATTAGCCATGTACTCATATATGAGACTCTTATTGGTTCCTTCATTACAATAACCAATGAGGGAAGTCAAATTTTTGTGATGAACTCTCATTAGAAGTTTAACCTGGAAATCAGAATCACAAACACGTTTAACCATATTTACTTATTACTCAGATAAAAAATCTAGTACGAAGTAATTAATAACTTACCTCTGCTTGAAATTGTTGATAACCACAAACACACAAAGAGGAAAGCATTTTCACTGCAACTGGAGTGTCATCAATATAGCCCAAATAAACTGTTCCAAATCCTCCTTTGCCGACAATTGTATTGAAATTGTTGGTAATTTTAAGGACCACGGAGTATGAATATTTTTGTTTTTCAAATTGCAGTACTGAATCATCTTGTTTTGTGTATTGCTGTGGGATCTCACTTTGATCCTTTTCTACCATCCATGCTGTTAAGTATAATACAATAGTTTTGAAAGCTAACAGGTTATTATTGAATTTGTTTGGAAAACTATCAACACAAAATTACTTATCTTTTATCATTGTAGCATCACCTTTCGATTTTCTACTTTCAGAATAATTTACTCAATCTCCATTGTTAAATGTCACAAATGATAATTTATGGAGTGTTATTTCTTTTGATATAACTATATTATTTAATTTTATAATATTTATATTTTTTACTTCTTATTTGATTATCCTTTTCTTTTTAAAGGACATGACTCAGAGGTTTACATTACTAAAGGACAATGTAGCGGGGAGAATTGACTGGAAGATAAGAGTTCATATAATAAGATTGTGGAGGCTGTCAGAGTTTAAGATTCCATTGCAAACAAATTCCTTGGAGATGATTTTGGTGGATGAAGAGGTTTTTTTATTCATAAATTATAACAATTATAAATTTCATTGTTGGATAGTGTAGTTTTTGTTTTTACTTCTGTTTGAAATTTTCATCTTCACAAAAAAAAATATGATTAGTGAAGATATTATTAAAAGTTTTATCCTTTTTACTTTCATATTCTTTTTAAAGGACATGACTCAGAGGTTTACATTACTAAAGGACAATGTAGCGGGGAGAATTGACTGGAAGATAAGAGTTCATATAATAAGATTGTGGAGGCTGTCAGAGTTTAAGATTCCATTGCAAACAAATTCCTTGGAGATGATTTTGGTGGATGAAGAGGTTTTTTTATTCATAAATTATAACAATTATAAATTTCATTGTTGGATAGTGTAGTTTTTGTTTTTACTTCTGTTTGAAATTTTCATCTTCACAAAAAAAAATATGATTAGTGAAGATATTATTAAAAGTTTTATCCTTTTTACTTTCATATTCTTTTTAAAGGACATGACTCAGAGGTTTACATTACTAAAGGACAATGTAGCGGGGAGAATTGACTGGAAGATAAGAGTTCATATAATAAGATTGTGGAGGCTGTCAGAGTTTAAGATTCCATTGCAAACAAATTCCTTGGAGATGATTTTGGTGGATGAAGAGGTTTTTTTATTCATAAATTATAACAATTATAAATTTCATTGTTGGATAGTGTAGTTTTTGTTTTTACTTCTGTTTGAAATTTTCATCTTCACAAAAAAAAATATGATTAGTGAAGATATTATTAAAAGTTTTATCCTTTTTACTTTCATATTCTTTTTAAAGGACATGACTCAGAGGTTTACATTACTAAAGGACAATGTAGCGGGGAGAATTGACTGGAAGATAAGAGTTCATATAATAAGATTGTGGAGGCTGTCAGAGTTTAAGATTCCATTGCAAACAAATTCCTTGGAGATGATTTTGGTGGATGAAGAGGTTTTTTTATTCATAAATTATAACAATTATAAATTTCATTGTTGGATAGTGTAGTTTTTGTTTTTACTTCTGTTTGAAATTTTCATCTTCACAAAAAAAAATATGATTAGTGAAGATATTATTAAAAGTTTTATCCTTTTTACTTTCATATTCTTTTTAAAGGACATGACTCAGAGGTTTACATTACTAAAGGACAATGTAGCGGGGAGAATTGACTGGAAGATAAGAGTTCATATAATAAGATTGTGGAGGCTGTCAGAGTTTAAGATTCCATTGCAAACAAATTCCTTGGAGATGATTTTGGTGGATGAAGAGGTTTTTTTATTCATAAATTATAACAATTATAAATTTCATTGTTGGATAGTGTAGTTTTTGTTTTTACTTCTGTTTGAAATTTTCATCTTCACAAAAAAAAATATGATTAGTGAAGATATTATTAAAAGTTTTATCCTTTTTACTTTCATATTCTTTTTAAAGGACATGACTCAGAGGTTTACATTACTAAAGGACAATGTAGCGGGGAGAATTGACTGGAAGATAAGAGTTCATATAATAAGATTGTGGAGGCTGTCAGAGTTTAAGATTCCATTGCAAACAAATTCCTTGGAGATGATTTTGGTGGATGAAGAGGTTTTTTTATTCATAAATTATAACAATTATAAATTTCATTGTTGGATAGTGTAGTTTTTGTTTTTACTTCTGTTTGAAATTTTCATCTTCACAAAAAAAAATATGATTAGTGAAGATATTATTAAAAGTTTTATCCTTTTTACTTTCATATTCTTTTTAAAGGACATGACTCAGAGGTTTACATTACTAAAGGACAATGTAGCGGGGAGAATTGACTGGAAGATAAGAGTTCATATAATAAGATTGTGGAGGCTGTCAGAGTTTAAGATTCCATTGCAAACAAATTCCTTGGAGATGATTTTGGTGGATGAAGAGGTTTTTTTATTCATAAATTATAACAATTATAAATTTCATTGTTGGATAGTGTAGTTTTTGTTTTTACTTCTGTTTGAAATTTTCATCTTCACAAAAAAAAATATGATTAGTGAAGATATTATTAAAAGTTTTATCCTTTTTACTTTCATATTCTTTTTAAAGGACATGACTCAGAGGTTTACATTACTAAAGGACAATGTAGCGGGGAGAATTGACTGGAAGATAAGAGTTCATATAATAAGATTGTGGAGGCTGTCAGAGTTTAAGAATCCATTGCAAACAAATTCTTTGGAGATGATTTTGGTGGATGAAGAAATTTTTTTTCATAAATTATAACAATTATAAATTTTATTGTTGGATAGTGTAGTTTTTGTTTTTGCTTCTGTTTGAAATTTTCATCTTCACCAAAACAAAATATGATTAGTGAAGATATTATTAAAAGTTTTATCCTCTTTACTTTCATCTTCTTTTTAATGGATATAGCTCACAAGTTTACATTACTAAAGGACATTATATATAGCAGGGAGAATTGACTAGAAGATAAAAGTTCATATAATAATAAGATTGTGGAGGCTGCTAGAGTTTAAGAATCCACTGCAAACAAATTCCTTGGAGATGATTTTGGTGGATGAAGAGAATTTTTTTTCATAAATTATAACAATTATAAATTTCATTGTTGGATAGTGTAGTTTTTATTTTTGCTTCTGTTTGATGTTTTCATCTTCACAAAAAAAAAATATGATTAGTGAAGATATTATTAAAAAAAATTTCTTTTTACTTTCATCTTCTTTTTAAAGGACATGGTTCAGAGGTTTACATTACTAAAAGACATTGCAACTGGAAGATAAGAGTTCGTATAATAAGATTATGGAGGCTGCCAGAGTTTAAGAATTCATTGCAAACAAATTCCTTGGAGATGATTTTGGTGGACGAAGAGGTTTTTTTTCCATAAATTATAATAATTATAAATTTCATTGTTGGATAGTGTAGTTTTTGTTTTTGCTTCTGTTTGAAATTTTCTTCTTCACAAAAAAAATGATTAGTGAGGATATTATTAAAAGTTTTATCCTTTTTACTTTCATCTTCTTTTTAAAGGATATGGCTCATAGGTTTACATTACTAAAGGACATTGTAACAGGGAGAATTGACTAGAAGATAAGAGTTCATATAATAAGATTGTGGAGGTTGCCAGAGTTTATGAATACATTGCAAACAAATTTTTTGGAGATGATTTTGGTGGATGAAGAGTTTTTTTCTTCATAAATTATGTTATAAATTTCATTGTTGGATAGTGTAGTTTTTGTTTTTTCTTTTGTTTGACATTTTCATCTTCACCAAAAAAAAATATGATTAGTAAAGATATTGTTTTCAGAATCAATTACAACGAGTCAATGATCTTAGTAAAGACATCGATAATTTTTTCTGCATGCATGTTATTTTTAGAAGCTAATGTATTTTTTCTCTTTATTTTTTTTAATTATTTTTACCTATTATAATTCAAATAATAACCTTATTTTCAAATAAATCAAATTAGTCTGATTCAAATCTTTCAATTTTTTTAACCAAATCCTACAACTCAATATATTTGGAAAAAAAAAACTTACCATCACTTTTGTATGTACAAATCATTTTGTTTAAGGCTAATTACCATCAATGTTTTCTTTTGATAATATTTTTTTAACATGAATGAAAAGTATTTATACATAACTTCTTATGTATTGATTACAGTTTTTTAATGTCAATTGATAATTTTTATTAATAAAGAAATATTGCACGAGATTTAAACACAATCATATAATATCATAAACATAAATGTACACCAATCATATATGTTATAAAAAATAATATTGTTTCATATTTTATTAATTTTATATTTTAAAATTTATTATAAAATTTCTAAATATAAAACTAATTTATAATTATTCAAAATTATTATATAAAGATATATCGTAAAAGATGTTTCATTCTATTTATATGTTTGAAAATTAATGATTATTCATATTTTTTTTATCATTATTACTAGGCACCAACAGTCAAAATATTTCCCCCTCTTTTTTTGGAGATAAACTATTATTTAATAAAGTTACACCTATGCAACGTCGATGTAATATGTTTCAATCTTTTGATGTAACAACTGCCAGGTTAACAGGTTAGTACTAACCAAATTATTTTTGATATATTATTTATTTCTCAAAATTATTTAAGGAGAAACTTATTTACAATGTTAGGTTTTTTTTTCAGTCAATACCACACATAATGCACATCGATCTAACACTATCTTAAATAGAGTTGTTAGAAGAAGTATATGTATGACAGAATAATTTACTCAATCTCCATTGTTAAATGTCACAAATGATAATTTATGGAGTGTTATTTCTTTTGATATAACTATATTATTTAATTTTATAATATTTATATTTTTTACTTCTTATTTGATTATCCTTTTACTTTGTTGTTTTGTAGTTAAGATATTGTTGTTGTTGGCCATCTTGACTTGATCCATTTCATAACACTTTTAAGGGTTATCGATATAGCTGCCACGGCCATCAGAAAGATCCAAACCCCGCAAACTGATGCTACTAAGGGCATAACAATGTTCTTTTTCTTCTTCTCGTTGCATTGATCAGGTTTACATAGATATGGATTTTGGCCCACTCTAGCATGGAAATCACAGAAGATTTATGTTTCAAGTCTCAGTAAACTTTTAATACCATCGATGAGTCCAATAGATATTTCAATTCATTTCACTTGATATTTTGATCAGTCGATTAACAACTGCCTAAGGAAAAACATAGGAGACATCATTTTTTTAACATGAGTGCTAAAGCTGTTTTTCCTTCTTTTATAAAAATTGAGCAACTCAATTTTTAAGGGATTTTCCGAAAATATGTTTAACCCAGTTTCTCGTTTTAAAGAGAACAGAAACTCAGATAAACGCTAGACCAATCATGTGTCTGGATCAACAGTTTAATATTTATAGATAAGTTTTTCCATAATCAATGAAGAAATAGAGTTAACTACTTGCATACAAGTAGTGAGTTATTTATAAGTTATCATTGAGACTTGCGAGCTTTCTAAAAATAAGTTGAAAACAACTAATTATAGACAAAAGTTATTGTCGTAAATTCTCTCAAACTCCTAAACAAATACTGTAAATAATCTCTTTCAAACACATCCCAAATACTGTCTAAACTATAACCAATTAATAATCATCATCACCTTAAATAACCATATTATGAATTGAGTATTGTTAGTAAGATTCATACCTTAGTGAGAGAGAACCTTCCATAGATTTTTCAACAAGTGCTGACGGAATTGAACCGAAGAGGTTATTGTTCTCCAAGTTTCTGCCAAAACACGGAAAATATAAATATATCATTTTCTATTTTCTGATACAGAGGATCACAGAGTTGTTCCAATAATTAACAAAGTAACTTACAAGATTTTCAAGTGTTGTAGTTGAGATAGAAAATCAGGAACTTCATCGTTTAATTTATTGTTTGATAAATCCCTGAAAACAAATAACACCCTTTTAAGTATGTCTAAATATTAGACACATGTACAAAAGTCATCTTGATTCTTGACACAAGTACGTAGCAGAAAAAATAAAAAGATTTAAAGTAAGTGGTTTTTTTCTGGTCTCATCATTAAATCCAGGTGAACCAAAAAATTAAAAAAATAAAAAGCTCACAAAATCTCTAACATGGTGAGCTTCGAGATTGAAGGATCTATCTTTCCGGACAATTCACTTGAAGATAAATTCCTGTTTTACACAACTTTTAGTTATACACATTAACATATTCCAAATATATAAATTTGAGAAGCATGAAGCATGACTTACAAAGTGGTGATTCTTGAGGACTCATTTCCGGGATAAGAACAATTCAGACCATGCCACGAGTAGGCTACAGGGGCACATGGATCACCTTGCCAATCTCTTGTCACACCATAAACTGACTTGATGGTTGAAATTGCATCAACTTTTGTTTTTATTCGAAATGCAAATTAAAAAATAAAATGAAAAATGGTTTAGAACACTTATAAGTTATATCAGTATAAACTAGAGAAACGGATTAAAGATATGATAAATTATTTTATTTCTCAGCATACCATCTCCTTGGTGAGTATCTGATTGCGAGAAGTCTATTACTCTGTAAATTTCAATAGCGTTGATGATAGGAGGCAAGGTTGAATTTTTGGTCTTCTCAAGTGAATATGCAATTTCTTTCCCACTGATGGCTGACACGCTACATAAAGTGTTGACACCCCTGTACCGTGGAGAAAATTTTTGATACCATGGGTCACCATTCTGAGTGATGTTGAATTCTCTTATCTCATTCTTTGCCAACACTTGAATCTCCGTGAAGTGCATGTAAACATAGAATTGCTCAGTTTCATCATCTGGCTCCCACCTTATTACCAATGGATCACTAGCATTTACTGGTGTAACTGCGGTGCTCATGACAATTGCTGGCAGTTTGTAACTGCTCCGGTTCTGGTTTAAATAATCAACAGGAATAGAAGCATTTAATGGTGTCCAATGATCGTCACTATAGGTACTCCAGTAACGATCATAAACATCATAGTTGTACCTGTGAGAAAATAAAATCATAATAAGTCAAATAGTGTTGGGGTTATTTTATTTGAGCCTTAACCCTCATGGTTTCAGTTTTGCTTTTGGTCACCACCCAAAATATTTCTCAATCATTGAATTATTTTTGTGTTATATTATTTTTTGAGTTATTTTATCGACGTGGGACTTGTTTGTATCTCAACAAATAGAATGTAAAAGATTTAATCCAAAACAAAAGTATGAGTTGGTTCACCTGTAGCTATTATTTGAACCTAAATCCAAGCGGTAGTAAGCTTCCAATGATCCAAATTGAGTGACATAAACATCATTAATCAAAGTCCTGAATTCTATGGCTGATATGAACGGTGTCCCATGGCCAGTGTCAACCAGACAGATTTGCACATAATCCAGTGAAGGAACATATATGATCTCATTGGCTTGGTCCTCTGAAGCAATATATATAGTCACTGTATCCCACAGGTTAGGCCCAAGAAGAAGATCAAACTGTGGTAACATATTTAGGCCATCATAATTTCCGTACAAGAAACTAGCCCTAATCAGATACTTGGAGCCTCTTGTGATATTTATTTTGTAGCAGTTCCTTTTTCCTTCCGGGAAGCTTCTCACGGTCCACATCTGTCGTTGATAGTTACTTTTGAGTTCAGATAATATATTCCCGCTCACACCAGTATTTATGAAATTTGCATCTGAAATATATTTTATGCCTGTCTTGGACTCAGTATAGTTCACATATGCAGGAGCTCCGCAATCCATGCTGATGAATCCTAAAACATGAAAATGCATATATATGCATGAGACTTAGGCTTCGATAAACTTTAACTAAATAATGATATAATGAAGTTCTTAGACCAAAAACAAAAATGATATATAATAATATGATAATGAAGTTTTGGTTTATCTTGAAACCTGATTGATCCTGAGCTTGAATAAGTAGAGCACTGAGAAATGAAACGAAGAAAGTGATGGACACTGTGTATGATGACAGATATACGACCTTCATGTTGTGAATTGTGACTGTGACTTGAAAAGGAATCGTGCTTAGGCGACGTAGTCAATTTGTGAACGTACATGATGGAGGTATGTATTATAAGCACTTTTTAACCCTAATTTTTTTTTTTTTTTTCCTTTTCAATGTTTGAGTCTGTTCTTTCATTCTTCCTCGCACATCATAATTTTGTCTGAACACCTGATTTGCTTACTTTGAAATTCCGTCAACACGTTCATGATTTGTAATTGATGCATGCATTTGCATCATTAAAATAATACTAAATTCAACGATCAATCAACGAAAGTTGAAGTAAAAGGGCATAGGAACTAAATGTGTTTTTATATATTTATGGTAAATATTTATGCCTAACATATTTTTAAAAATGAGGAATCAACGAAAGACCATTTCTTTATAGACTAAATGTGAACATTATCGACATGTAAGAAATAAAAATATATTTAACCTAAATAAAAAAAAATACCAAGAATGTATCCACCACGATGTTGATGGAACAACAAAAATAATTAAAAGGAAAAAAAAATTCATGTCAATCTTATTTGATGAATTTAATTCCATGTTGAAGTTTATACACTATTATTCAATCATAAAATATTACATAATTAAAAATTATTGTTTTTTGATTTTGTAATAATTGTTTTAAGTGTAATTTCTAATTAGTTGGTAGTATAAATATTACAAGAATAATATATCAAAATTAAATTCATTATTTGATTTACAAAGTATTTTAAAAAGTGATAATTTAAGAAAATAATGTTATATTCAAAAACTGATTTATGTAAAAATAAGTTGAAAAATAATTCACAACACCCTAATATGTATTCTTCCTATAACAACTTCCACAAATTTATTCCGTAAATTTAAAACACAAAACATTTATTTTATCTCAACAGAATAGTTCCGATGATTTTACATATATTTTATTGTGCATTTAATGAAAACATAAATTTATGTTACATTTTTTTTACAGCACGAATTGGTTAACTTTAATTAACTAAAAGTGCGAATACTTAATAAATAAATAAAAATTAAACGTGATACTAGTATATATGTTGTGATTTAATTAAATATGAAAACTGTGATTTAAATATTAAAAAAATATATGAAAATATTAAACTCTATTAATTTATTGTTTATTATAAATGATTAGTTGCAAATAATACTTTTAATATAATGTTTGTATTTTTTTGTGAAGATAAATAAATGAATTGTCAATTTTATTATTGAATTTATGATTAAAAAATAAATATATCAAATACTATAGTTAATTCAAGTAATTTATTCAATATTTTATTATTGAATACATTCTTAAGGTAATTAATTTATATATTTCGCATTCTATACAAGAAAACTAATAACCCTTTTAATGTAGAAATTAAGAATTATCTTTATATAATTTTCAATTTGTTGACTACCTATTGAGATTAAATATTACGTTTAATATTATAATATGCAGTCAATTAGTAAGTATATAAATAAAGAGATAAGTTATTATATATTTTTGTCAATTTATTAATATTATAATAAAAATTTTGAAATTTTTATATTTTAAAATATAGTATATAAATAAATTATTTAAAAAATAATATAAATTTTATTGGACATACATACACGTATAATAATAAATTTTATAATAATAATATTTTATTTAATTTCAATAAGACTTAAATATTTTTTAATCATTATAAAATAATAAAGTTTTGATTTTAATCTTTGTAAAAAAATTCTTTATTTTTCATTCTTCTAAAATCTGAAATTATGTTTTTACTCTTTATATATGTGATCATTTTTAATTACATATTTATTATAAAATTATTATTTTAGGTGATAAGATAATTGTTTATAGAAAATTTATTTATGAATTTTAAGTTACTCATTATAAAAATTAATAAATTTATCATTCACGGTAATTTGATATTGAGTGATAACATAAAATGATTTTACCCTATTAATGTATATTACTTTTTCAAAAATATATTATATTAAATATCAATATGTCACTTATATATATATATATACCAACTTGTCATTGGTTATAAAACTATACTCAAAAGTCAAATCTTGGATTTGAACTTTGTAAAATAATGATCAGAATGAAAGACTTAAAAAAAAATTGTCATTTGGTTAGGATTTGATAGGATGGACATTAAAATAAATAAATGGTTTAAAAATCTTATAAGATGGTGATAAATGTTTACTTTATTTCTCTTACAATAATAAGACGTTAATATGTGGAAATTAAAGTATTATCTATTGATTAATATTTATTGGATTATATAATTCGTATATCTCAAGGTTATCATGAATATAATATTTATCCATTATCAACATCAGAAATAAAATAAATATTTAATTATATCGTATAAATTTTTAAAGTTATTTATGTTTATTTCTTTTGAGTTTTCCTAAGTCCATCCTATCAGGATTCAAATATTAGTATCTGAGTGAAATTGACTTTCCAAAAACATTAAAATTTATATTAATTTATTGTAACATGAAGTCAAGTTTTAAGTATAAAATTTAATATAAATTAGTATACATATTCATATATTTATCAATTTATTACTAACATATTAATATATTTGATTTTTTCTTATTATTCAAGATATAGAATTTCTCTCATAAAAATTGTAAAATTTAATTGATGTTCAAATGAAAAAGACCTATAAGAATAGTAAAAATAGTGTAAAAAAGAATCTCATGGACAATTAAAAAAGAATTTGATATTATATTTTTTTATTGTTCGGTTGCTTATTAGTAAATCAGCCTAAGAGTAAAACTGCTAGAAATTAGCTTTAGAGGTCTGCCGACAAAAAGTTATTTGTTATTAATTTTTTGTAAAGTAAAAAGACAACACATATTCGGAAGAAAAAAAATCTCTCAAAAACTTGTTTTAGGACTCACAACTCGTTAGATTTATTTTCATTTATGATTCTTTTTAGTTTAAATATTTGAGTTCATAATTTTATTAAGTAATTAAATCTAATAAGACAAACTTTGTGTATTGAATTAACAATATAAGGATTTAAAATTCTCTCTCTAACATAAAAATGATTAATATTTTAAAAGACTAAATTCAAATTTAAAAAATAAAATATCAAAATGAATCTTTAAAAAGAAAAATAACTAAAAAAAATATTATGGACAAAATAAAAGTTAGTTTAATAAAAATGAATAACATTAGTTTCCATTCCTTTTTATGTATTTATACTTTTTTGTACTCAACGATACAATCACCATCTTTATATATGGGAAATTATTAGGTAGTTTACAACTATCAAATAGTTTTAACAATAGATCTATTTGTTTAAACTTAAAAAAAAAGTATTTCATAATATAAGCTTTTAAAAAAATAAACAATTATCTAAGAAGCATAAGAGTTATTTCTCCAAAAACGCAGAAAATTACTTATTTTTTTTAAAAGAAAAATTAAAGGAATACATCAAAAATTAAAAGAGTGATTATTTTATTTTAAAAAAACATTGTATAAAAAGTATTTAAACAAACAGATCTAATATGTATTTAAGTTTTTTAATTTACAAAAAAAAAATTAATAACACTTAATTATATGTCATGTACTCTTTGTCCTATATTATAAGAAAAAAAAATATTTTATGTATATGAAAAAAATTAGTTATCTGTTTTAAATTTTATTAATCCCGTAATATTTTTAAAATTACTTTTGTTATAAATATCAAAAAGAAGTTATGCAATTGAAAGGTTATACATTAAAAAAAATATTATAAAAAAATATCATTAATTAGGACAAAAATAGTGATAAAAAAATTATATTTAAAAAGATTAAAATATTTTTTAGTCTCTATATTTTTAATTATTTTATCTTTTAGTCTTTAAAGTTTAAAATAAATATTTTTAGTTCCTATATTTATTATTTTTAATCTTTTTTATTCCTTATAATTTAATATAGATCTTTTTAATCTTAAACTTGTAATTTTTTAATTTTTTTTATCTTTATTGTTATTTTTTTTAAAATGTTGTTTGATTGATTTGTGTTGAAGATGAGAGTATAAAAGAAACATGAAATATTAGGAGACTTAATTTAAAGTAATTCTAACAAAATAGATTTTATATTAGATATACAAAGTTAAATAAATACATCTATTACATCAATATATAAGGCACAAGTTTAAAAAAATTAATAATAAAAACTAAAAGGATTAAAAAACTGCAAATATAAAAACTAAAAAAATTTATCTTAAATTATATGAACTAAAATAATTATACTACTAAAAATGTCTATTTTAAATTATAAAAATTAAAAGATAATAATAAAAAAAACCTTTTAAAAAATGTGTTGGTTTTTCTCTTATAATAAAAAACTGAAGTATATATTAATAAGGTACCATGAATTACAAAACCACCGATTAAATTTCTCCCCATCTGAGAATCCGTAGAAGTTATAGAAACAAATATCGCTGAGAAAAGGAAAGAACATAGTAAAGCACCTACCCGCCAACTTCTTATAGGTGTAGCATTTATACAAACAACAGTAGGAAAAAAAAAAAAAAAAAAAAAAAAAAAAAAAAAAAAAAAAAAACAAGCAAATTAAGTAAAGCAACTTCTCCTGCGTGCAACATCACTTCCCCTTGATTTCATTAACTTATTCTTCTTATTTTGGGCAACCATTTACCTAGCTAGGGGCATGAATTCGGTGTCCAGATTCACGTTGACCGATTCAACCGAATACCTGGAATTAACACCACTATTATTTTTTGTTCGAGCTAATTCTGTTGCTAAAGCCTCCTTTAGTTCAACCACTACCACACTCATCATTGGCCTTTCGTTTGGAATCAGAGACACACAAGCCATTGCTATTTCTACCGCTTTCCAAGCTGAGTTAATGTCAAAATCTCCTTCTAACCCTGAGTCAACTATGCCCTTGATATCCCCTTTCGCAATCCAAGAGTTAACCCTTTCGCTTATGTGACCCTTTTCTTGATTCCTTGCTATTACTGCTTGATTTGTGATTATTTCCAAAAGAACTACTCCAAAACTATAAACATCACTTTTTTCTGTTAATCTACTGGATATGGAGTAGCTGCATGCAAGACAAATGTAACCCAATTTATTTTCTGCCATATATTTTCACAGAAAATGATGGATAAGATATAATAATTGAAGTACTTACTGAGGGTCCAGATAACCTAGAGTACCAGCAACAACAGTTGACACATGAGATCCCCCATCAGTTGGGATAATTTTGGATAGACCAAAATCAGATAATTTTGCCTGGAAGTGTTCATTCAACAGTATGTTTGTAGATTTTACATCTCTATGGATTATAGGTGGCTTGCAACCATTTTGCAGATACTCCAATCCTGAGATTAGATTTATGGCAAACAAAAGTGAAAAGGGAAGTTATGGCAATTTATTGAGAGGTGGAAAGACAAGTTAAAAAGTGTCAAAACATAATTTGAAGTTTGCTTTCATACCTGAGGCTGCATCCAATGCTATACGAAGTCTGTCTTCCCAGCTCAAGAATTTTGATTTGCTGTAATTACCTGCACGAACAACTTCTGTAACTTTCTATACGTGTTGGTTTTCTTTCTGTTGGCTAGAAGACAATCTTTTGAAGGATTCATACAGTTGTCCTTTATAAAAATTTCCAGATCGCAGAGTTTCATAATATATTGGGAAAAAAAAAATCCCGCCTATGTTACAATGTTAACTTTACAAGCTTTTTATAAGATTAAGTCCAAATTCAGATTTTAAAATAATAATTGGTTATTACCTTACAAACCACATTTGTTAAGTTAAATTTCATAACCTTTTTCCTTAATCTATCATTTACTCTTTTAGACTTACATATAAGTAAATATAACCAATTTCACTACCGATTAATAAATTTCATTAAATGTAAATTTTTACAATTTTTCATAAAATATATATTACATTACCTAAAATATCTTTAATCATATTCATATTCATGATAGATAACATACTCATTTATTAATTATAAAAGTATTTTTAAATTAATAATATTAAATAAAATTAACTTGATTAAAATTTATTTATATTCAATATCCAAAAAAGTTAAATATTTTTTTGTTTATATATAAAAATATCTAATAAGAGAAAGGCAAGCAATACATTATTTAATACACTTTTTTCTCCTTTTTGTTATTTTTTGATCCACCAACCTATCCTTAGATAAGGCAAGTCAAGGCAACAAGTCCATTTTTGTTTGGCAGGTTAGTCCGGCTTGATTCATTTTTACGAGCCAACGATAAATCGAGCTTAAACAAATATCTAAGATAATACAAAACTTTCTTTGAAATTGATTTGCAATTTTCTTAACAATAAATTAATTTTATTTGTGAACTAACCAGAGAGATGTTCATGTAAGTTTCCGTTAGCCATGTACTCGTATATGAGAGCCTTGTGGTTTGCTTCATTACAATAACCAACAAGGGAGGTCAAATTTTTGTGATGAACTCTCACTAGAAGTGTAACCTGGAAATCCAAATCACAACCATGTTAAACATATTAATACATCTTTTGCTGATCTAAAAAACCTAGTGTAAAGTGATTAAACAATTACCTCTGCTTGAAATTGTTGATAACCATGAACAGCCGAAGGAGAAAGCATTTTCACTGCCACTGGAGTGTCATCGATGTAGCCCAGATAAACAACTCCAAATCCTCCCTTTCCAACAATTGTATTGAAATTGTTGGTGATTTTAAGGACATCAGAGTATGAATATATTTGTTTTTTGGGGTGTCGAAATGAATCGTCTGGTTCTGTGTATTGCCGTGACATTTTATTTTGATCCCTTTCTTCCATTAAAGCTGATAATTTTTTTACAACAATTTTTTGAAAATTAACATGTTAAGGAATGACTTTTTTTTTTGGCAATTTTTCAATAAAAAAAATTACGATTCTTTTATGATTGCAGCTTTACCTTTTGATTTTCTCCTTTTAAGAGTCCACATTATTGCCACGGCCACTAGAAGAATCAAAATCCCACTTATTGACGCTACTAAGGGCGTAACGATGTTCTTCTCATTGCAATGACCAGATTCACATAGATTCTCATTGCAATGACCAGATTCACATAGATATGGATTTTGGCCCACACTGTAGCATGGAAATCAAGATGCAAGTTTTATGTCTCACTAAAGATCAATAGATACTTCGATTAGATATTCAGTGGTTTAAATTAATGTTTTAAGTATTGGTGACCGGTCAGATATGTGAAGTTGAATTAGTAGATAAATATATGACGGGATCTCTATTAAATTTAATATATATATATATATAGAGAGAGAGAAGAAATTTATTTACTTAAAGAGTAAATTTGATAAATTTATTCTATTTAATTACTTATATTGTACATCAAATTTTAAGAATTTAATTATTAAATTAAAAATTTTAATATATAAATTAAGTCTGTAAATTTTTAAAAAAATTTAAAA